ATTGCTTGCTTGATGGATCTGCTTTACCAGTTCCCAGTGGGTTACTTTACTTATTGGGCTATGAAGAAATTAAGAAAACAGATTCTGAATTCAGTAGCTATTTATGTTGAAAGCACCAGTGCATTTTAAATATTTAAGAATGACATAAACATTAACAAAATTATCTTAAGTTGATGGATATGTAGCTTTATTTTCTGATAACTTCTGTGTGATCTGGGATTACTGGAAAATATTCATAGTAACTACAGAAAATAGAAAAAATTTTCTATGTTTTTAAAAAAATATTTAAAATATTTTAAAAAACTGATCTTAGTGTTTCATCAAGGCCAAACAATAAGCCAAACAGGAAGCAACAACAAGGAAGTAAACCTAAGCCATGTGTATCTACCCTGAAAAAGAAAAATCAATAAATCCAACTAGGTAGGGAAAACTGTCAAACATTTACACCTGTCTTCTCTGAGTCCTGATAGAATACTGGGTCAGGAACTCCTAAAGAAATAATTGAATATTGTATTTAAATCTGAAATTTGGTTTGGGGTTTCTGTTTTTGCTTCTGTGCAGTTCAGATTTCAGTTTTACCTAATGCACTAACTTAAAACGGGTCAAGTAATCCTGCCCCCAGAGAGAACCACTTCTGGCCACTCTCTTTTAAAAAATACAATTAGTTCATGTGTATTTGCTCAAGTGTATATACCTGTAAGTTTACTTAAGAAAGTTATATTTATCCCTATAAAGGTACTGCTAAGGTTTAAAAAGGAAGCAGTATTTACTGAGTGCTTAAAAAGGTACCAGGTACTATTCTAAGTGCTCTACATAGATAATGTCATTTAATTCTTCCAGCTGGCCCACCCTGTGAGGTCAGCACTATTATTACTCCCGTTTTACTCAGGGAAAACTGAGGGAGGTGAGGGTGGGTACCTTTGTCAGGGTTACACACTGGGCTTCTAGCCCGGGCATCCTGACCTCAGAGCTATACCCTTGACCATGAAGGTCTCCCCTGGAAACTTCCAAGTAAACAGCATACACGGGGACTTCCCTGGTGGCCCAGTGGTCAGGTCTCTGCGCTTCCTCTGCAGGGGGCATGGGTTCCATCCCTGGTTGCGGAATTTGGATCCTGCAAACTGTAGGGTGTGGCCAAACAAATAAATAACCCAAACCAACCAACCAGCCAGCATACAGAGCCACAGTCTAACCTTTCTCTTCTCCTTAGTGTTACCATCATCTCATGAACAGTTTGCGGTGGTCACACACAGAACTAGGCTAGCGCATGCGCTGAGTCGAGCACTTGGATAGGGTATACTCAGCTCTGGTCTGAGAAACAACTCCACCTCTGACTGCGTGGGCTCGAGCAGGCTACTTAACCCTTTATGTCAGTCTTTTCATCTATCAATTTTTTTAAAAAAATGTATTTATTTGGCTGTGCCAGTTATTAGTTGTGGCATGTGGGATCTAGTTCCCTGACCAGGGATAGAACCTAGGCCCCTGGCATTGGGAGCATGGAGTCTTAGCCACTGGACCATCGGGGAAGTCCTTCCTCATTTATAAATTGAGGATAATAATAATACCTCAAAGAGTAAGGATGAAATCTGAAAAATTACTTGGCAAAGCATAGCACACAAACACGACTACAACTACTATTATTGTTATCATTTTTTTATTTAATCCCTGCCCTTGAGAAGCCAAGGGGGAAGGAGGGAAAATCACATTAAATTGAGGAGAGGGTTCTAATTAAAGCCAAGTCCTAGAACCAAAGTTCTATAAGGTGATTTCGTATATTGTGGTTAATGCAGCTGAGGATGCATGGCTGTTTACTGAGCACCTTTTCTGGGCCAGGCACTGGGGCAGGGTTCCCTGCGTGCCCTAGATCACTGAGTGCGGACAACAGTCTGAGGCTCTCGCTGCGGGTAGTGCTGGCTAGGATGCGCTGCTTTTCTCCACTGAGCACGGCTACCCATCAGGTGTCAGGGGCTCGCTGGTTCCCCTGCAAGGATCCATAGTCCCTCATGTTCCTGCTTGTGCCCAGACACACAAATTTGTATTTGGGCAATGCTAAAAGCCACAGCATAAAAAAGATAACTTCATACATTGTGAACTTTAAACAATTTACGGTAATTTTTTTTTTTAATTTAAAAAGCAATATAGGAGTGTCCCTGGCAGTTCGGTGGTTAAGACTCTGCGCTTCCACTGCAGGGGGCACAGGTTCCATTCCTGGTTAGGGAACTAAGATCCCACACTCTGCAAGCTGTGGCCAAAAATAAATAAATGACTTTTTAAAAATTCTGATTAAAAAAAAATTTTTTTTTTAAAGCCAATAAAGGCACAGGTTTTATGTATCCTTTTTTTCATTGCCTCCAGCTCTAATATTTTTCCTGTGCTTCAAACAGCTACTGGACTTTTTGAGGATACTCAACCTCCTGTTACTTCCCATTCAGAAATGAAGGCCTGCTTCTGCCTTCCCTGTCTCAGTTAAGGAAGTCAGTACTGACTAACCTCATTTTCCAGGATAGACATGTGGAGCTTGCTTCTCCCAAGGCACCAGGTCTCCCGTGGGGGGTACCTCCTGGGCGCCTCTCATTTCTCTGTCCCTTCACTGCTCACGGCTGGACTCTACCCATCTCTTGCCTGGCTGCCTGGAATTATCTGTCTCCTGGTCTCTGGTCTCTTCTCTGTGTTGATCAGTCATCCACAAGGCGCTTCCAGATTCCAGTCTAAACACAGATATGACTATTCCTCTACTTGAAACCTGCAATGGCTCCCTACTGCCCACAAGATAAAAAAGCCAAGGGCCTCGGATAACACGCTGGGGCTTTCACTGTCTGATACATTGTTGAGCCCACGTTCACATGATCATGTGCTACCCACTCAGCCATAAGGCTGCTTCAGCCACACTGGCCCACATGCCCACTCCTACAATTCTGGACCTAATCTTCCCAACACTGGGTATTTTCAGAGCCTGTCTTCAGATACATAACGCCCATCTACTTACATATAATCCTGCTTTATTACTTTTTTTCCAATCAGTTTTATAGAAGAATTCCTATAAGATTATTGTCTATTTTCTATTTTCTCCTCTGGACTTCCACCAAAGTGTAAAAGGTTCATGGCTAAGGAATAATAAAAGACGAGAAGGGCGTCTAAATTTAGACACCTTTAGCACTGATGGACCCACCACCTAAGGGGCCAACAGCCTCACCCACGCCAGCAAGACTCTGAGGGCAGTTTCCAGTGATGGGACGCGCTGTGTGGTTCTCTAGGGGCAGTTAGTTTCCATTCAGCAGATGAATCAAAGGGCGGAGCAGTTGGATAACGTAAAGATAACATCTATATACAGTTTTTGGTTTTTTTTAAGAAGCATGTTATTCTTCTATCAAAGATAGTCAGCCCCTGAGTCTTCATGAACAATTCTGAATGTGCTTTATTAAATTTAATAGTTCTTGTTAGCAAAACTCATCATGAATAAAAAGCAAATTACTTTTTTTGGCATTCTGATATTGGTAAAGGAAAGTTCTATTTCACTAATGTACATACAGCCTTTATCAGATCTTTCTCAATTTATCTCTGAAGTATGTTTAGAGCATAAAAATTTTAAAAAGGAGGAAGTTCAGTGATTAGCATGAGCTTGACTCATTTAGAAGATGATTTTCACAACTCCAGTGGTTACTCCTGATACACTAATGCCTATCACAGGAAAGAAGGCTCTAAATAATTCAAGAAAAATATAAAAGTATTGTGAAAGCTGCTTCAGGCTGAATGTACTCTGTGCTGGGGCATCATCTGCCTCTGCTTCCAAATGTGTGATTGACATGGGTTTTGAACCTAGGGCCTCAGCTATAATAACAACCGGATAGGATGAAATAAACCAGCTAGTCCAGGGTGGAAGCCTGTCACCATTAATGATTTTCTAAGGCTAAGTTTTTAGTTGGGAAGAACTTCTTAACAATTGTGCATGTGTTCATGGATAAAAAACAAACATGAACTCTTCTCATCAAGGAGGGGATAAAAGTTCAAGTGATTTTCTAGTCTAAAAATGTCACAAGAAGATCATTTTCATTGCCTCCCTTTATTAAAGACCCAAGCTAGCAGCTTGTCTTTCTCCAACGTGAAAGGAATGCTGTTTTAAAATAGCAATGTATTTCTTATTTAAGGTTGAAGAGTAGGACCACACTTGCATCCTATATAGGCCTGTGGGAGTTCTCAGCAGGGTTCTCATCCTATGCCATCTGGTAATAATAGCCCACTCGTTCTGGTTTATTTTAGGAACTCTCCCAACAAGTTGGGGTTCATAGCATCAGCGTACCTAGATCAAGACACTAAGGCGAGTTCGCTGTGGCCGACAGCACACGTCGCTAAGTTTGTTTACGGCCGTGTGACTCTAAAATGTTAAGTCCCACGGTTGTCTTAGATGTCATCCAGTATCTCGGGCTGTGACGACCTTCGAGCTATGATATTAAAATAGAAAAACCTTTGCAGAATGTTAACCTATCATTACAGAGACTCAATGGCACGGCACTGCAACCTAATTAGCAGTGTGGCTTGCATCCTTGCATCTATAAAATAGAATTAGCATGAGCACTGCTCTTTTTTTTATTATTAGTTTGTGTTTCTAGAAAGGTGTGACCTTATCTGTAGGGTTCTGCTCATTTATGTCCATCTACAAAGGATTTAATTACATTCTTTTAGCTCTCTATGCTGAGGAAATTGAAAACGGCCGCTTCAAAATTACAAATGTTAACGAAATTAGTGAATAGAATATTTACTCTATCACCCTTCTCCTTTTGGAGAGAATGGAAACATGCTGAGGTAAATAAGGCCTAAGATTTTCAGAAGAGAAAATTCTGGGCAAGGAGAGCATTAAGAGTTCTCCTCTCCTCTTTCCCATGTGTATTTTGTAAGTTTCTCTGGTTTTCTTGGGCAGAACTAGTGAAGGGCAAAGTGTATAAATATGACACAGTGTCTGAAAGTTACATATTAGCATCAGCAGCTAGAAAACATCAACTTACATCGGAGGCTGGTGATTCAAGCACGATGCCAAATCCTAGAATGTGGTTCTCCCCAGGAGAGGGGTGCTCGGCCGTGGGGAGACTGGAATTCTCGGGGGCCCCTGCAGCCTTCTTCTCAGCTTCCAATGCACTGGGCTTCTGTTTCACAGTGAGAGGTTCCACAGTCTTTGGGGGCACTTTTTTCTTTTTATTTCTCTTGCGTGAGACAGCAGTTCGCTGGGAGCAGATAAGGGAAATTGGGGGTTGTTGTCTGTTTTGGGTTCCAACTGTGAACAACAAACAAAAATATGGTACAGGCATGTGTGTCTAACCTAGGAGAATATTCTTGCTCCATCAACTGAGGCTGAAATGGTTTCACTGGAGGATGAGGCACATCGAGATCAACCTCACGCTAAACCTAAGTGTGACCAAATGCTGCCTCAAAAGGTCTATGGGCAGAAAAAACCCAAGAGAATACTCTCCTCCAAATCCTTGTGGCTAATTGATTACCTGGTGGGTAATGGTAAGGAGGAAAGGATGATGAGCTATGAGAAAACACTGAAGCATGATTTTATACATCACATGACATTTTTGTATTACCAAGAACCCCAGAACTTAAATTGAGGTGTAGACATCCATGTTTTTTGGAAAGCTAATCTCGGGAATACTTCACTTGAGATTAAACTGATTGGGAGCCAGCAACCTACAGGTGCTGAAATCAACAAAAGTTGGGCAACAATGCTCATTTCGGCAAGTCTGATCAAAAGCATCACTTGAGAATGACCAGTAAGCATGTGGGCTAGGTCTGTTGGTCAATTTCAGGTCGTTACTCCTGCCTCACAAACCAATAAGGTCCACACATCAGCCATCTCCACACACTATGCTACTGGGTTCTGACCAGGCTGTTTCTCCATAACTCAGTTTTACGTAGCTGAAAAACAGGAAAAATATAGTTCAGTACAAGAAGAACATATCAGTAAGGTCCAGGAATGGTCTGAGTTCCAAAGACGAGAAGCGCTGATCGAGAGCCGAGTGCTGATGTTGAATATATACTTAAGGGAATCAAGGATGGTAATTACAGTTCTCAGAGGTGCCCTTCAAGAAGTAGTGTTTGTTAACCATTTAAAAATACTCTGATGTAAAGTGGAAAAATGGCATTATTACTTAAATCTTCATGTGTTAATATGGTTTTTAAAAATATGACCACAGCTGCTTTTTCACAGAAATACAGCTCTAAAAATAAGCCAGATGAAAACCTAAAGATCTTGACATGCACATAATATGGATCATTTCTTATCAGGTTATGAATGGGGAATATCTGTACTCTGAAATTGATATCTGCATCTCTAGGCTGGACAGAAATTTATAAATAAGTATTAGAAACACACTACTTGCACTGCAAATGAGCACTGAAAAGTTTTTTTAATCACCCATGCAGTAAGTAGTCTAGCTCACTGGTTCTCAACCTCAGCTACACATTAATCTCACTAGATTCACCTTTAAAAAAAAGAAAAAAAAAAAAAAAAGCCAGTGCCTCAGGCTCAACCCAGACTAATTGGGATTGGAATTTCCCAGGGAGATGCCTGGGCATTGGGATTTTTTTAAAAGCTCTTCCAGTGATCCCCAATATAAGCTGGACTGGAACTTTTCTCTGTTAGGTCTGAATTTTCAGCTGAGGTTAGGTCTCCATTTGGAAAGTTAGACAACTGAAGCAGTTATCAATGATCTAGGACTCCAGCCTCACCAAGCCTCACTTTCCAAAAAGCGAAAATGTTTTGAGTTTAAAGAACACAGGGTCTGAGGTTTTCTTCTTCTTCTGCAAGTCTGGACAGAGCTGTGTTCTTTCGAATCAGATCTTATCGCTTGATCTTATTCCTTGCCTTCTCCCTGAAGTAAAGGTGAAACTTCCTAAGTCGAAGGTAAATCTACATTTTACAGGTAATAAACCTTAAGTCAATCTACTCACTCAACACAGACCCTTCAGTTTAAGAAAATTAAAGGAGACTAATTTATTCAGTTTATCCTCTGGGATCCCTGTCAGCTCTGGGGTCGTTTACTGCCCTAATCTGCAAAAGGTTCATAAAAGGAAACAGGGTGACATAGTGGCATTTACTTAATAGATTCTCAAAAGGCTTCAGTCAGGGATTTAAATGGTTGCAATTTGTAGTTTGCCATTTTGTGAGTAAGGAGCTTAAGTAACAAAATAAATCATTACCATTTCATACGCATATTTTCTTAAGTGCTAACAAATTCTTCCTCTGAGGAAAGAAATCTGTACAGAATGAAGTAACCTTTCTTTCTGAGCTCCTTATTTAGGAGATGTTAGCCTCTGCTGGGTTAATAAGAACACAGATTATCCTTGTGGAACAAGGTGAGTTAAATGTTTACTGGCCTGACCAAAATGCTTTTATTTTTTCCCTTGGGATAAGACTAAATCCAGTGCATAAAATTAGATGTTGCTTCTCAGAAAGACTTTTGCTCATTTTACTTGCACGTGATCTTGGGTGACTGATATGTTTAAGTATTAAGTTTTTTAAGTATCAAACCACATCACTGAGTATTAAAATTTTACTAGAATTAACTAACCGGCACCAAGGACGATTTCTGAGCTGTCTGAATACCTTTACAGTGGAAAGGGGGGAAGTTAGTTATATATGACTGGGCCATTTTCCAGCTTAAGGAGCAGTTTTCCCTGATGAAGTGGAAGGCTTAATGAAATGATTTATTATTTTCTGTCGCTGTTGTTCAGTCACTAAGTCGTGTCTGACCCTTTGGGATCCCATGGACTGCAGCACGTGAGGCTCCCCTAGGACAAAAAAAGCTTTTTCTCCCCTAATTTTGGAGACTAGAAATCACAGCCACTATAATAAGGACTTAGATTTCCAGACTTCTAAGAAATGCTCCAGGTCTTCCTAACAACACTCACAAAATAGCTGAGGCTCAGATCATACTTTACCGAGTTCAGTTGCATTTACTATTTCTTCTATTTTCAAAACAACCCTGTGAGTTAGATATTAATACTCTAGTTACAGATGAGAAATCTGAGGTTCAGAGAAGTCACCCAAGCTAAGACAGGAGAAACTGGAACTCTGACCCTAAAATGCAAGTTCACTGCTCCTCTGTTCCTCAACTTGTCTAACAGGAGCGAGAACAACAACAAAAAAAGCATCGTGTAAATAAAAAGACAATCCCGCAGGTGTCTCTGAGCCTCTGTGACCTGAATGTCAGGGAGAAAAGCCACAAGCGGAGCCCGAGGGCCAACGTCTCTTGTCAGCTGATGCTCTGGAATCTACCAGCAGAGTCCAGGCTTCCTAAGGGCGCCTCTGCGTGTACAGAACTGCTTGGCTCCTCACCCGTCACAGGGAGCCCAGGGTGGGAGGCAGGGTGCGCTTGTGCAGAAGTGAGGGCTGTAAGATGCACACAGCCCCCCAGACCGAGCCCCTTAGGAGGGAAGATGAGCCATTCTCACCTCCTTCCCCATCATAACCTCCTTGTCAATTTACATTAGGGAGAGGAGCCGAAGGGCCCTGCCCACCTTCGGCTGTAATTGTTTCAAAGTTTAATTAGCTGACATTTGTGAAGGACCAGGAGCACATGTACAGTGTCGGCCAGAAAGCATCTGTGACACTGGCTAACAGGAAGGTGGGTTCTGGAAAACACAGAGAAAAATGGATGCTTGAAGAGGTACCCCATCAACTATACTTGCATAAAAAATTTGTTAAATAAATTAAAAAAAAAAAAAGGAAACCTTGCTGGTGAGACAGCAAGGCGGGAGGCACAGTGTAATCAAAGCATAATGAACATCCCCACTGAAGATCCTCCCTCTGAGGCCGGATCTGCATACCTGCCTGAATCTGCATCAGTTTCCGCATGGTCTTGAGCTCTTGGAGGATGGCCTGCAACGTCGACTGGCAGCTACAAGTGCAGCAGTTGGATCCAGCTGATGGATTCACCACTGGAAGTTCTCCTGAGCAGGAAAGGAGAGAATGATGGCCGCCAAGCGACAGCAAGATTATAAAGGGGAAAATAAACAAGGGACCCGGTGATTTTCAGAGCCTGGAGGTTGGGGTCTGACTTTAGCTGACTGTCCGGGTTTCTCTCCTGTCAGGTGTGTGTCGTATCACAGGGCGGCGGAGCCTGTGTGGACGGACACACACAGTTTGCTGCCACCCCAATTCATCTACGATAACGATACAGAAAACAATGACTAAGAACACACTTGTGCTACTTTGCACAAAAAAACTAGCTCTGTGAACAGCCTTTATCTAAAACCAAACAAACCGGGTAGCTGCACATGTCCTGAGAGTTCATACTGAGAATTAAATGTATCTAACTATTTAAAAGATAGTTTTAGCATTAACCATGTGATTCCAAAAATTAAGAATTGTCAACACATTGCTTTTGTGCTGGGTGTGGTGTGTCTGGGGGGGGGGGGGGAAGCGGGGGCAGCAGGGCCTGGGAGGCTCCATGTGAATTGAGGGGTCAGGGGCTGCTGCTGTGTTGGGTTTTCTCCAGCTTCATAAAGGAGCGCCCTTCTACATCTTCCATTCCCAGTTCTTCAGTTTCATTTTAGTCTCGTTTTCACTTTTTGAAAGTGAAAGCTGCTCAGTTGTGTCCAACTCTTTGTGACCCAATGAACTGTACAGTCCATGGCATTCTCCAGGCCAGAATACTGGAGTGGGTAGCCTTTCCCTTCTCCAGGGGAGTCTTCCCAACCCAGGAATCGAACCCAGGTCTCCTGCATTGCTGGCGGATTCTACCAGCTGAATCACAAGGGAAGCTCAAGAACACTGGAGTGGGTAGCCTATCCCTTTTCCAGTGGATCTTCCCGACCCAGCAATCAAACCAGGGTCTCCTGCGTTGCAGGCAGATTCTTTACCAACTGAGCTATCAGGGAAGCCCTTGTCACTGATCTTCCTGTTATTGCTGGAATAAAACGGGACATTTGGAAAAACATGCTTTCAGTACAGTAGCCCTGACCTCAGTATCCAAGTTCCCTTAAAGGGGATCAGGATAAGAGACTGCTCTCAGTTGGGTTTTTTCATAGGTGGAAGAGGGAAGTTCTAAGGTTTTGGTCCAGTTATATTCTTTACTATACATTAAATGTAATTTACATCCTGCAATACGCATTCTTTGTGAATATTAATTATTGAAAGTTTCACCACAGCAAAAACCATGGAATACTTAATGTGTGGAGCAGCACAATTATGTACATTTAGAGTTGTAGCAAAATGAGATGTTACAACTTTAAAACTACAAATGATTAAATTAAAACTCCAATGAGATACCAAATGTATTCCGATCAAAAATACGCCATTAACCCAGAAGTATTTTAAAACAAATATGTGGGAATTTAGGTTTGTAACTCTGACCATTACTCATATTTTCCAACCATCCTTGTTGGGGCCTGGAAAATAGAACAGTATTCACCCAATACTTTCTGATGGGGGTGCTTATTAGTTTCATAGATTCCTAAGGCCATTTTATTTCTCTAGTCATTTCTTCCACAGCAGTAGAGTTAGGAGGACTTTGTGAATATTCCTAGTCACTATTCCAAGTCTGTATCATTTTAGAGGACAAAACCAATCCTTCTCAGCTTGTTATAAATCATTTTCTAATTTTAAAGAGAACTGCCTTTTTATTTTTATGGAGGAGTCTTTAAAGAGCCATCTCTTTCTAACCTGGAAGCACGCCAGCATGAGAATCTGATATTGGCTTATGTAATATTAAGAGAGACAGAAGACACCCATACATCTCTTGGGGTCCCTCCCTATCTCTTCAGCAGTAGCTAGTGATGGCTTTTCATACCTTTGAACTGGTTATCACAAACTGTGCTTAAAACAAAACAAAAAATCACAATAGTTCTCTTTCTCTTAAAGGATGATGATGGGGGGGGGGGGAAATGCTTAACTTTTTAAGGAAGCTAGAAATGTGTTCTTCCTTTCTTCTCATTCCCTTTGTTAAAACTACAGATCTGCACATCTGTATGTAATTTATAACACGAATAACAGTCAGTGTTACTGGAGGGAAAATTAACATGAATGGAGAAACCAAGTTTTTCCTTATGCTTTGGGAAAAAAAATTTGCCATTTGAGTTTTTCCCCCCTTAACAATTAGGAATTTAAAATAGACAACTAAAAAAAAACTATAAAAAGAAAAAAAGATAACTAATAAGAAACTACTGGATAGCACAGGGAACTCTACTCAATACCCTATGGGGACCGACATGGGAAAAGAATCTAAGAAAGAGTGGATATATTTAAGTGTATCGCTGATTCACTTTGCTATACACATGAAACTAACACAACACTATAAATCATCTATACTCCAAATTACTTTTAGAAAACCCACGAGGAATTTAAATTAAGGAAATTTTACTTTAAAGGAATAATTTTCAACCTGAATGCAGCAAGTTATAAGATATGGATCATTTGGTTCAGGAGCTTGAATGGGAGGCTGAAGTCAAGGTGTCACTTGATGGGCGGGGTCATCAGTCCTCCCTTTAAGTGACCTGCGCTGTAATACAGAAAGCCCAGGACTTAGCAAGGGGATGTGTTAATAACACACCACGTGACCAGGAAGCTCCTTTGAAGGACACAGTGGAGCTCTTTCTGCCCTAACGTTCAGTTGTTTGTGACAATAATATCTGCATCTCAGCCAATGACGGCTTTGACTTCTTTAGCTCTGAGCTAAAGTGTCTATCAAGAAACCATCCCTTCTAATAGAGAACCCCCAGTTTTTCCTGCATCTCAAGTCTAGATTTTTTTTATACTCTTTTTCTTTTATGTCTTCCCTGTCTTTTAAAATAACTCAATTAAGGTAGGTAATTAAAGGAGGGTTTACTATATTGAACTCAAAGAACACACTGAATGTTTATAGACAGAAAACATATTGGGACGACTGTGAGTGTCTGATGAGGGCATACCACTGGAGCTCCCCGCGGTGTGGGGCTGGCTGTGGAAGGTTCTGGAGCGGGTGCCATACTGCCCTGAGAACTGCCCGCTCTGGGCTGGCAGCTCATTCCATGTGCCCCGGGAAGACGGGTGGAGGCTCTGGGGGGCCTCTGCAGAGTTCAAACGCTGAGGCCAGATCGCATCCAAATCCTGGGGTTCCTCTTTAAGTTTCTCCCCCTCCTTGCCCACACGCTGATATATCCTCCCAGCGCTGTCATTCAGTAATCTTCTCATTCCTGTAATTTGTTTTTTAATTTCCATGCTTTCATCTCCTAATGGAAACAGGGCCAGAGATAGCACTGTAAATTAGTGAAAGAAAAAATAATCCACTACCAGAAAAAAAAAGAACCAAAACGAGACACCCCCCTTTCCTTCTTTGGAATCGGGGGAGGATTACTGACTCCAGATGCAAGCTTCTCTTTTAAGAATCTTCTTTCCTCAGAGGGTTATTTATTTTTTTGAACCAAGGTATCTGTATTGCACCGAGGGTGCTTAATAAATATTACTTAAAGATGACTGAAATTATACAGATATAAAATATTTTCTATAAATAATATCATTAAAGGATGCCCAGATCTATTAGGGGCTATTTCACACATGCATGCATGCTTGCTGAGCCTCTCAGTCATGTCCAACTCTTTGTGACCTCATGGACTGTAGCCCGCCAGGCTCCTCTGTCCATGGAATTCTCCAGGCAAGAATACTGGAGTGGGTAGCCATTCCCATCTCCAGGGGATCTTTCCGACACAAGGATTGAACCCTCACCTCCTGCATTGGCAGCTAGGTTCTGTACTGCTGAGCCACAAAGGAAGCCCATTGTAAACATACTATCTTCTTAAATTGTCATCAGCCAGTAACTTTACAAAGGTTAAGGGAAGTAGTCTTTTCTTTTTATTCTCCAATTTGGTTTTTAAAATAAAAGTCTAATACCAGAGTACACACTCAGAGTCACTCAACTAAATGCTTGAAATTTCAACTATGAAAGAAGGAAAAGGCCCACAGAAAGCATCTACTAGGAAAACATAGCTCCTACAAACAAATCTAGCACATTTATTTATTTATTTTTAATTATTGGCCGCATCTGTGCAGCATGTGGGATCTTAGTTCCTGACCAGGGATCAAACCCACGCATCCTACATTGGGAACTCAAGAGTATTAACTACCAGACCACCAGGGAAGTCCTGAGTACATTTAATATAATTATGTTGTAATGCCCTCAGCATCATATTAGCCAGATTTCTCGATCACAATGGTAACTGCACAATGAATGTAGGTATTTTGCATTGTCTAGTTAGATATTTAACTTATTAATACACAAATACATTACTGAATGTAATGGAGAAGGAAATGGCAACACATTCCATTATTCTTGCCTGAAAAAGTCTGCAGGGTCACAAAGAGTCGAACACGACTTAGCAAACCTAACAACAACAGTAACAAAACTGAATGTAAGGAAACTTTTCTATTTTTATGCTGTGAAGTTAGTGTCTTCAATTTTTAAAATGGTAACAAAAGTATTCATTGTCTCTAATAGCTAACATGAACAAATGCAGAATTGACACAGATTTCCAAATTTACAATACTGCTCTGTTGGCATATGCTTGAGAGAAGAAATATTTTTACTTTGTCATAAAACTCTTTTCATTTCAAACACCTGTGAAAATGACAATACAGAAACAATAAATCACGTTCCAGATTTTTATGAGAATGAATGACCAAGCACAACTGAAGAAATGCGAAGCCAGCATTTACAACTTTCTCAGGATGTCTGGGGAACAGGGTGTGTCTGGAAGAGGTCCCAGAGGAATTCTGAGAGCTAAATCTATAAGCCAGTGTGGCTGCTGTTACTTTCAGCATCCAAACCCACCCTTTCCCGGCGTGACTAACAGCACAGCTTGGGCAGGAAGGAGGTTCTTTCCTGCAGGGCTTTTATTCTGGACCAGGGACGTCACACACGCATCTAGGCTGCAGCATGCTGATCTCGGTTGACACTGGCTGGTGGCTGCCACTCCCCTCCATCCCAGGGCCCTGGCAAGAACCACACCAGCCAAGCCAGGCAGAGGCGGGCACGCTGCCTGGAGCCTGGATCAGTGCCAACTTACTCCCCACATGAGCCCTGACGCATCACAGCCAAAGGGCCACTCTCTTTTCAAAGGTTCCACTTCTGCTCCAGTGACTGAATCCTGTGATAAAGTGCTGTCTTCAGAAGGAGGGAAAAAAGGTCATGAGGATCCTGGAACTTTCTAAGATCAAAGTTGCTTTGTCATGAGCTTAGTTTCATAGTTCCAGAACCTACAGCTCTGAAACTTACAAGACTGAGAGTGTGAATTCTGCACACTTGATACTTTCAAGAGGACAACCAGGATTGTGGAAGAAAGAGGGAGATCCTGGCTGTGGGCTGACACTTAGAAACATTTCTTACAAAATCAAAACAAGAAGCAAACCATGACAACCGATTAGGACCTGGGACTGAGGAGGAAGAAAAACAGGGGGCTGCGAGGGCAAGCAGCAGAGCTGGCTGACTTCCTGAGAAGACAGCTCACAGCCTATCCAACTGCGGGACAGCTGAAAGGACAGAAAACAGCTAAGTGCGAGAACTGCTGGAGTCAAGGAAAGCCGAGAGACACGGGGAAGGCTGGAAGCGGGCTGGCTGCGGGGCAGTCTCCTGGAGGCGACAGGCTGGGTGTCCCCAGAGGGCGGCGGGATGAGCTGCCCTTCCTTTAGCCAGAGAAGTCAGGAGCAGCCCTGAGGCCGCCAGCTGCGGAGGAGGCCCTAGAAGCACATCTCTCTCGCTTGTGCTCTCTCTCTGTCTCTGTCTCTCTCTCTCTCACACACACACGGGCGGGGGGACGGTGCACTCTGCAGAGAGAGGGGAATCGAGTCCTCACACATTCAGGAGGGAGACCTGAAGACTAAAAGTGAGGACGGCAGAGAAAGCTGAGCAGCCTGCACACTGGGATGGAGAGGGTGAAGCTTGCAGGCTTGGACCACGGATGCTGGGGGTGGGTCAGGGGACAGGCCGGGGCTGTGGTGCCCAGACCTGGGCTTACTTCCCAACTGTGCTGACTTGCTACTTGCTACAAGACGAGCCACCTGCTGTTCTCAGACTTCAGCTTCCTGAACCGTAAAAAATGAATTCCGAACCAGTCCATGCTTGGCATAACCCAGGGGGAGCAGTCAAGGTGGGATGTAGGTTTTTCCCATTACCAAGATGTCCACAGGGCACCGAAAAGCTCTAAAAGTCACCTATGTCCTTCTCAGAAGGAGTGGGCTTATTCTGATTGCCACAGTGACTCAAAAAAAAAAAAAAAAAAGTGGGATAAATTAAGATATTGAGATTTGAAGCACTAGTTGACCTCTTTGTCTTTGCAGTTCTAATCAGTTGATGTCCTCTCCATGTATAAATGCCAGGAAAAAGAAGCTCTAAAGAAGCATGATTCCAGGGAATTCCCTGGTTGCCCAGTGGTTAGGACTCCACACTTTCACTGCCAAGAATGTTTCAATTCCTGGTTGGGGAGCTAAGATCCCACAAGCTGTGCGATAAGGGCAAAACAACAAAAACAAACAATAAACAACAAAAAGAAGCAACAATTCCATGAGGAAACCTGTTCACTTTCCAAACCCAGCCATGCCTTTATACATGTATAACCACAAGGGGCTGGATCTTTTTAGAAAAAACAAACAGGAATCTTACAAACATGGATCCATGGTGTGTGGCTGCATTAGTAAAACAATCTTAAATGAAAAATGGTTTGTATGTTTAGTAACTGGACTCCTTGGACAAGACTGACAAAAGATTACAGGTTGGATTTTACCCTTTGCTAAATTTCAAGACTCACTTTCCTTTACATAGATTACTTTCCTTTACATAAATAATTTGCAAAATACAGAACAGAGAGTCTTGCAACACAGAAGTCATCATATAGGATCACTTGGTCAGGAGAGAAAAACATACAGAACACGATTATTCATGGTTTGGGGTAATGAAAGAAAAAAGGCAGTAATGCCCAAAGATAGAGTGAGATGATGTACATTAACATTATATATCCATTTCTACATGCCTTCTTTTCACAAAGACTCAAAACAGTCACCATATCTTTGTATGAAAAATTAACTAGTGTTGAGCTATAACAGTCATTTCATATACCTTCCTTACGTAAATGAAAGAAATGTTGTATCACAACCGGAATGAAGTCTAGTAGAATTAAATGTGATACTAAGGTTATAAACAAACCACATACTGAGAAAAATCCAAATGAACCTTTTGGCCAACCCAATATTAATAGGACGGAGTCAAAAAGTACCAGAAATACATTATTCAGTAACAATTTATCAAGCATCTCCTGGGCCCCAGAGATACAAAGATCATCCTGTTCAAATTGAAAGGTACTCCCCTTCCAAATCTTTCAACATCTTTTACTCAAATCCTTTTGTATGGGTTGGTTATTCTGAAAAATGGTCCTGATTTTCCCCAGCCTGCTGACCTGCACCTCTTTTAACTATGTGCCCCCAGAACTCCAGCAAGCAGACTACCCTGCTATCTGTAGACAACTCTGATTTCTTGCTGGAGCTAAAAGCTGGCCTTTCTCTGAGGAACCTGCCTCCCTGAAGCCCCCTGTGTGAAAGTCATTCACCTCCCATGCCCTTGGGGCTGCGGAGGGTGGCCCCCAAGCATCACTCCTGCAGGCAGAAGCTCACTGTCTGGGTAGATGCCACAGCTGTACCACTTCCCTCTTCTTCCTGAACAGCGGTCTGTGTGCCAGGAGTTTAAGGTTCATAAAGAAAAGTGGCAGGTGATGAAGTCAACACATACAGTGAGGTCATCCCATTAAGGTGCCAGGTTAAGGAAGAATAATTTTGCATTGGAGATATTGGGTTATTGCTCTGGGTTATTTATTTCGATATTTTTATTTATTTATCTGGCTGTACCAAATCTTAGCAGCGGCAGGCAGGATCTTTAGTTACGGCATGTGAACTCTTGGTTGAGGTATACGGGATCTAGTTCCCTGACCAGGGATTGAACCCGGGCCCCCCTGCATTGAGAGCATGGAGTCTTAGCCACTGGACCACCATGGGAGTCAGCTCTAGGTAATTTCAAATTCACTCTCTCTTTAACATAAGGATGGTAACCAATCAGATCTGTCCCTTAGAAAAACAAATCTGGCAAAACTATGGTGAAAGTAGTGTGGGGAGAGGAAACCGGCTAGAAGGTTATTGCTAAAGGTTTCGTGAATGGCCGTGACAGACTGGGCCAGGATAGGGTGATGGTGAT